GTTCATATCATCAAATGATGGTATTTGCCTTTTTTTTGCATTTTTTCAGTTTTATTTACAAATAATTGACATACATCACTGTGTAAGTGTATGTTGTACAGCATGATGGTTTGGTTTACATATATTATGCAATGATTACCACAATAAATTCAGCTAACATTTATCTTTTCATATAGATAGTTAGAAAAAAGGAAAAATATTTTCTCCTTGTGATAAGAAGTCTTAGGATTTACTCTTAATTTTCTCATAAATCATATAGCAATGTTAGCTATATTGTCCTTATGTTGTACATTATATCCTTAGTACTTACTTATCTTACAATTAGAAATTTGTATACCTTACATATTTTAAAAACATTTTTAGCTGGGGTACCTGCCTGGCTCAGCTGGTAGAGCATGCGATTCTTGACCTCAGGGGAATGAGTTCATGCCCCAAGTTGGACATATAGCTTACTTTAAGAAAATAATGATTTTAGCTATTTCCAGTAAAGAACTATAACTTTGGTATAGATTAGAATTTTAGCTTTTTAAGTAGCCTGGGATGTTCGTATTTGGAGACACTGAAATTCTTTAGTTTTATTATTAGACTTTAAGCCTGTTTTGCTAACAAAGCTTTCTGCAATTTAAAACAAACTCGATTCAGTTATAGTTGTCTTTTCCATTCAAATCCTGAGATTTATCATCCTTTTTGGATTGGAATGTATCTCAGGCTCAGTCATTCACTAAATAATGATGTGGAAGCAGTCATATGCCTAAAGTTTAGAAAAATAACTCACCAACTTGTAGCCTTCAAAACAGGTTTTATTTTACTTTACTTTAGAATTTTATTTATTTTGAGAGACAGAGAGAGAGCTGGGGAGGGGAAGAGAGAGAGGAAGGGAGGGAGACAAAGAATCCCAATCAGGCTCCACTCTCCCAGCACAGAGCCCAAGTCCTGCGCAGGGCTCAGTCCCATGAACCCTTAGATCATAACCTGAGCCAAGATCAAGAGTTGGATGCTTAGCCGACTGAGCCACTCAGGCACCTCCAAAACAGGTTTTAAAAAACTTCACTATTAAAACTAGAAATTTCCATTCACCTGATTTCTGAATACAGCATAGAGTGGCTGTTTCCAAGACTTTTTAGAAATCTTGGAAGATAGAAAAAGTAACCCTTGAAATCTTCTATTCTACTTGTTTTACATAAATGAAAATTCAATGTAAGCAGGTCTTCAATGAAAATATTAGTACATAGTGATTATCAGCTTTAGCTTATCATGAAATTGGGATTGTCTCAAAATCTTGGATCCATATCCATGTTAAGTAGTATTTGACAAGTGGCTTATAAATAACTTGAAAGAAAAAGTTGAATTGTGATACTTGAATATGAAATTCATATAAAAATACCAATTTGTACATAAATAAGGTACATTTAATTACATGATTCATGTCACTGATTTTTGATAAAGCCCAGTGTTGACTTTAATTCCTATTCTTTAAGCTTTTGATTATTAAGAAGGAAAGGCTATCAGAATTACTGAAGGTATTTTGTGTTTTCCAATACTATACACGTGTTCCCTCCTCCCAGGCAATTATTGTCTGAAGGGTTCAGAAACTACTGTTTAAGATTTGAATGTTTTATTGATAGTTGGGTTTTATTTATTTTGCTTTCTCAGAATATCATTGGATACAGGGGCTCTGAGAGCTAGATTTGAAATATCCAGATTGTTTTCTCATGTTGTCTAGCTTTTGGTTTGGAAAATAATATTCACTATAGCTAAGCAAATTAATTGAACAATGATCGTTGGTTTTTTTTGTTTTTTGTTTTTTTTTAAATGTTTTATTTATTTCTAGGAGAGAGAGAGAGAGAGAGACAGCGTGAGCAGGGGAGGGTCAGAGAGAGAGGGAGTCACAGACTGAAACAGGCTCCAGGCTCCGGGCTGGCAGTCAGCACAGAGCCTGACGCGGGGCTCGAACCCACGAACCGCGAGATCATGACCTAAGCGAAAGTCGAGCGCTTAACGGACTAAGCCACCCAGGCGCCCCAATGATGGTTGTTTTTAACAAATTATAACTACTGGCTCAGAAGTAGTAAATTTAGGGGCAGCTGGCTGGCTCAGTCAATGGAGTATGTGACTCTTGATCTTGGGATCGTGAGTTCAAGCCCCACAATGGGGTAGCATTTACTTCAAATTTAATTTAGGCTCCTTCACATTTACTTCACAGAATTAAATTACTTATTATTTTCCTGAAAAATTTATTTTATTGAGATAACAATCATCAAATAATATTACATTAGTTTCAGATGTACAACATAGTTATTTGATATTATGTTATAAATGATCACTACAATAAATCTAGTTAACATCCATCACCGCAGAGTTACCAAGGTATTTTTTTCTTATGAGAATTTAAGATCTACTCTCAGCAATTTTCAAATATACACTACAGTATTATTAAGTGTAGTCACCATGCTGTATATTGCATCCTCAGGATTTATTTTATCATTGGAAGTTTGTGCTTTTTGACTACCTTCACCAATTTCGCCCACTCCCTCTTAGTTTTCTTACAGTAAATTATTTACATGTTATATATAGCAGTCCTGTTGTTCTGTTCTCCACAGGTATGTTTGCAATTCGTGCTGATCATGATTTTGTAGTACAGGAAGACTTCATGAAAGCAGTCAGAAAAGTGGCTGATTCTAAGAAGCTAGAGTCTAAATTGGACTACAAACCTGTGTAATTTACTGGAAGGTTTTTGATGGCTGCATGACAGATCCTGGCTTAATGTAAAAATAAAGTTAAGGAAAATAATGTATGTATTGGCAATGATCTCATTAAAAACATTATGAATAAAAATATGTATGGATAACATTGTAAAAATTAGTAATTCAGTAATTCTACTTTTAAGATTGGTACAGAAGAAATTTGTATGTTTGTTAATACTGCATTTATTGCAGCAAAAGTTATGAGTATGTTGAAGCTTTTCATATTTGCCGTGTGAGCATTTTGTAAAACATTGAAAGTAGTTTGAAATCGTAGTACAAGAGAGCATTTCTTATGACTTATTTTATATCATTTGTTTCCTTCATCCTAAAAAGTTGAATAAAATGTTTTAGTTCTCCTACATGTTTTTGTCTTTTTTAAGAGTACATTTATGATGAACCTTTAGTACATAAACTATTTAATAACCAAAATGAGTTTTATTTAGATTACAGGCTTTTGAATTTTAAAACCATACACACTCAGTGTTCCTAAGAGCGTCGTTAAATAAAGCATAGATGTGTATGTCTGTATGGATAATGGAAGGTCTTTATTTACTCTTCACCTACTGTGAATAGACCGTGAGATAATTAATTGAAATAGTACATGCATGTCCGTAACCTTTTTTTAGATTACGATTAAAAGTACTATTTGCTAACAAATGTGACTTGGTTTTGATTTATGTAAGATAGTTCCCTTTTCAGAATACTAAGGTGTGGACCCTCTTCCCAGAAAAAGTCAGACGTACATATTTTTGCATATACTAAAATTTAAGGAGATTTATTATTTCCCAAGCTTACCCATTGACTATGTAGGTATCTATGGATACCAAGCTAAGTGTGGGATGTTGATGTCAGAAATGTTCAAAGCAAAAGTTCTGTTACCTACACACAATTCTTCTATCATGTGGAATTAAAGCTTTAACAGATTAAGATAGGAAATCATCGCTGGGTGTAAACTGAGATTATTTTATTAAAGATGCTGTTTAAACAAAAACAACTTGACTTCACTTTCATAAACACTGAAGAATGTGCGATATATGACTTGGGTAATCATACAATCACTTTTCAAATTAAAAAGTTACTTGCAGAGTATTGTATGTCTTTTTATAATTTTAAAAGGTAGAGAATAGTTTACATAGTGATAGAGAAAATGGAGCACTCAAGCTAACCATTTAATACTCAAGTTATGGAACGGTTCTATTTCTATATATGTTGGCAGTGTGTTTCATAAATATGACAATATAAAAATAATATGTCAAGGAAGTCTAGGTCAAATATCCATGTGATTCTTTTAACTTTATTCATTGTAGTTTGCAATTTAATGAATTTCTCGCCTTTTTTACTTTATTTTTTGGTTTTAAGAAACAGTTTGGTTTACAAGTCTTGAAAGTTGAAGTGTGGATTCTTCCGCTTCAAATTTGATATTCCTCATCTGTTTAAAATAGATAACAGTATCTCCCTAGACGCAGAGAAAGTATATACCTCACTTCTATTAATAGTATTAATAGTATTAACAGACTCAAACTCCTTTTTAAAAGATACTGAAAACCATGTAGTTTAATATATTTCTATTACATATAATTATTATTTTAAGATAAACGTAGCATTAAAGGGAGAGACCTTCCCTCAGTATGATGTGTAATTTACTGAGTGAGCTATCAGTTGTTTCTATTAGGATTTTATATTTGCCTTTCGTTTCTTGAGATTTTCTAGCTGTCATATTCGGGAGTATTCTTGAAAAGTCCACCATTTCAATTTGCTTAAACACAATGGGTGTTTCATTTTCTGTGTAGCATAACACAATTTAAAGATGAACTCTTCATTTATTACTCTTTCGGTTATAACCTCACCACAGATTGCGCAGGATTCTGAGGGGAGAAACTACAGTTTTCCTTTCGGATGCCAGTCTCTGGTGGCTGGGATGTTTGCCTGTTCTTACACTACAGATTTGCGTCCGATCTGGGAAAGGGTAGAGCTGGAGCGGTTTGTCCCACTGCCTTTCCCAGGACCTTCAGTCGTTGCCTGCCTCCTGCCGCAGCCCCACCTCCTCCACACCCGGTGAGCTTCGGCCGTTGCTCCCCGAGGCCCCGCCCCCCCGCGTCTGCGCTCTGGCGAAGGGGCGGGGCAGCGGCGCGCTGACACCTGGAGGCCGCCGGGGGCGGGCCGAAGGCAAGCGTGGGCTGGGATTGGCTAGGATAGCGAGGGGTGGGCGGGGGGAAGGAGGGGAGACGGTTGTTGGGCTCTTGCTAGTGCTGGAGCTTGTGCGGCCTGAGGGGCGCGGGGAGTCAGGGGGAGGGAGACGGCAGCAGCATGGCGGCGGGGTATGAGCCGCCCAACCCTCTTCCCCGCTGTCGCCGTCGCCGTCGGAGTCGCTGGGACCCTTTAATCTGCGTGTGTTAGTTGTAAGCCCGCTGCCCGCCAGTCAGCCGTCCGGCCCACCCACCCTCCTCCCTTTCTCTGTCACTGGCAGCCCGAGGGTCGGGCGGGCCGGATAAAACTCCCACTCCCACCCCGCCCACAAGCCCCGGGGCCGCGACCATGGAGGACGTGAAGCTGGAGTTCCCCTCGCTCCCGCAGTGCAAAGAAGACGCCGAGGTGAGTTTGTCCGGTGACTGCCACGCACAGGCCTCCCCGTGCGGCTCTTCGGCCGCGGGGCGACCCCAGGCCCCAACCGTCGAAGTCCCCACGCTCCACCGGAGCCCTGTTGCCTCCTGAGGACATCCTGGGACCTTGGGGAGGAGCCTCACTCACCGAATTTCTTTGACCCTCCTGAGACCCCGGCGGAGGGGCTGCTGGGTCTGGTCTGCTTAATTAAAAGGGAAGGGCAAAATTAGTCCTTTCTCCCCCGGGCTCTGTGTTGAGGACTGACTTTGAGTAAGGTTCCCCTTTTTATTGCCACTGCAGTACGAGGGTAATGTTTTAAATCCTAATTTGAGGGGTATATTTGGTGTCATCCTTTCGCATGTGGGACACATGGCCCCACATGTGAAATAGATCTGGGGCCTGAACTTTCGAAGTGCTCCTTCAAAAAGTTTTCCAGAGTAGTTTGTTTTATTTTGTTTTTTGGTATTTTTGAGGGAAGGCTGTGATCCGCAGAATAAAATGTCACAAAGCTAACTCATTTCAGTCTAAAAACTTCAGTCATGAAACTTGTGGAGGGGAGTTGTTATTGAGAATGAAATTGTTTTTAACTAGTTCTCCTGATTTCTGATTTGGGGTTCTTTTTACTCCACCTTATTTCTCCCTTGACTAACGTTTGTATTGAGTTTTTTCTCCATCTGTTGCTAGTTTAAAATACTTTGTGATGTTGCAGACTACTTAATTAGAATTTTCTTAAGACTAAATAAAGAGACAAGGATACTAAAAAAAAAAAAAGACAAGGATACTCAGTTATGCCCCAATAGGATCAAGAAAGAAATGAAAATTTCTAGTTCTAAATATCTTAAAATTAATTGGAAAATAAAACTTTTTGAGAAACCATTCAGTTTATACCAAATCTTGATTCCTTTGACTGTCTTCATTTGGTGTTCACATTTTTTATTTGGAGGGATCCTTTGCTTGTGTTAGTAGTCTTTTCAGAATTTCATATTTTAAGAGTAGACTCTTAAATAGGGAAAGAAAGTTTAAGTTAGGTTAGTTAAAATTGAATTTACACTTTTTTCTTTGTTTAATATGGAATAAAGCAAATGAGGAATATGCTTTTTGTCCTTAAAAATGATTCAGTGATTTAAGCCTGGAAGCAACCTTAGAAATAATAGAGAGCATTCTCTCTTTTCAGGTGAAGAAATTGTAATTTACTGAGAATATGTGATATGCCAAGGTAACAGCATAAGGCAGTTCAGAACCTTGGTCTTAGTTCCTAGTTCATTGTTTTTCATTTCAATTTTTTCCCTGATCTAATCTTAAAAATTATAGTTTAAAATGTTTGCAGACTTGAATTTAATCTTTTATTATGTATATAATATTTCTTATCCCTGTAATTGTGATAGTCTTAACTGGGAAGATAGCTTTCTTTCCTGTGTAAGGATGGAAATAATGCTTAAAGCCCAGTAGATAATGATGCAAATGTTATTTACTGAAAGCCAATTCATTCCTTTTTACTTAGCATTGGATGTTTGTTTTCTTTTAGTTGCAAGTGACAAAAACCAGCTCAGACTAGCTTAAGCAAAAAGAAAAGTAATTCCAGAAAGGTGGGGATACAGCTGGTCTCAGGGACTTACTAGACAGTATTATGATGAATTAGAACTGGCTCTGCCTCTTATCTGTGCTTGTCTCTACTTTGACTATTTCTGCCTTTACTCTGGCTTCTCCACAGATAACAGAGTTTGCCTGTCAGCTATCCAAGGTCATACCCTTACATAGCTTACACTTTGAAGAATAACATCTCTAAACTTCAGTATTTAAAGTCTAGAGGTTGGCCTAATTAACTTAGGTCATGTGCCCATCCTTTGGATGAGTTCCTATAGCCAGAAAGGGGCAAATAAAATGAGGAGCCCAGTCTAGGTCATATACCCACTTGCGGCCAGGGGAGAGAGGTTTATCATTGGTAGCCCTCCCACCAAAATCATAGGAGCATTTCCACAGAAGATGGAGGGTGCTTTCTGGGCAGACAGAACTATAAATAACCATTAAATAGGGCACTCGTGTTAAACTAATAAAACAGTGTTAATTTTCTAATTTGCTATGGAATACATAAATTATCAAATGGTCCTATGTAGTTATGGTGACCAGCCAATATGAGTTTTGTTCTTCCACCTGAGAAGTATTTCAAGGAAACCTAAATTACAGTCCAAAGGTTGCTTTAGTAAAAACAGAATTCAAGTAGAGAGGCATTTATGCATGCTCTTAATGATTGATGTGATCAAGCCATGACAGTTTGATGAGCCTATCATCTCTATAAGAATATTACTTCCTTGTTTCTTGAAGTACTGGTCAGGGCATTCTTTTAGGACAGAGCTAGCAAAAATTTAGCGGTGTTCAGATTGGTTTGGAAAAAGATGATCATGCCTTTGTTTAAAACTTCGCTGTGATTCCCCATAGTTTTGAGAAGTTCAAACCTTAAATTTCTTTTTATATTTAAATATTCATTTATTTTAGATAGAGCACCAGCAGGGAAGGGACGGTGGGGGGCGGGGGGTTGCAGAAGATCCAAAACAGCCTCCACACTGACAGTACAGAGCCCAATATGGGGCTTGAACTCAAGACCATAAATTTATGACCTGAGATGAGGTCAGAGGCTTAACTGAGCCACCCAGGCTCCCCCAAGCCCTTAACATCTGCAAAGTTGTGTGTGATCTGGCATCTGCCTACCTTTTTTTTTTTTTTTTTTTTGAGTTTATTTATTTATTTTGAGAGCGAGAGCACCAGTGAGGGAAGGGCAGAGAGTGAGGGAGAAAGAATCCCAAGCAGGCTTCAGAGAGCAAGGGAGAAAAAGAGAATTCAAGCAGGCTCCGGGCTATCAGTGCAGAGCCTTGATGAGAGGCTCAGTCTCAAGAACTGTGAGAATACAACCTGAGCCGGGACCTTAATCTATTGAGCCACCCAAGTGCTCCTGCCTCCCTTTCTAACCTCATGAGCTTCTCTTCCCCTTGTAACCTATCTGTTTGCCCTAGCCATGTTCATTTTCTTTCAGATTTGTAATGTTTTAGGTCCTCCCCCCACCCCGCCATCCCCCAGGACCTTTACATTTGCTATTATCCCCTGCTTTGGCCACCTGGCACTAACCGTGGCCTCACCCAATTAATATTTGCTCTTGAATTAGATCTCAGTTTAGGTAACATATTTTTCATAAAGGCATTCCCTGATTTTGCCAACTCCTCCTGTTCACCGCCCCCCACCCCACCCATAGTTTAATCCTATAGGTACACAAGTCTCTGTAGCACTTGGTATTTTTATACCTACCTGGGAACAGATACCATACTGATGGCTTTCCTCAATGTCTGTTCTCCATGATACTGAAAGTTTCATAAGGGAGTTTATTTACCAAAATGTTCCTGCCTTATTTCCCACTGTTTCTTGCATTTAGCACAGTGTCTGGTATATACCATAAGCTTAACAAATGTTTATTGAATTAATGCAAGAATCTTGATTGGTTTTGATAGTAGAGTCTTATGACAAGATTTCAGTAGTTTCCTTTTAGATATGAAGAAGAGCAGCTTACACTACCAATTTTTAAATAAATTAGTTGCATAGTTAGGGCTGTTGGTTTTATAATTGAGAAAAAAATTTTTTTTCGGAAAGAACGTATAATTTATTTCACTTGCAGTTTGGCAACTTAAATGTTAACTTTCTGTTTTCTCTTTTGATCCCCATAGTACAGAATAAAAAATAGGAATTGCTTAATATTTCGGACTGAAGATCCTTTAAATATAGAATGTTGCTGTTTAAACTTGACTAGAGTAGAATTACCAAGGGTAATTCCAAAAAAATAACCATTTTAAAAAAAATAACCATTCCTGGGCCCTATCATCACCTTCTGATTTAACTGATCTGAGATGGAGCCAGATAATTCTAATGGCTGCTAGGTTTATGAGTAACTGACTTAAAATCATCTTACTTGAATGCCCTTCTGCCTGTGTATACCCCTTCAACATTTATTTATTTATTTATTTACTTATTTACTTATTTATGAGAGAGTGCACATGCATTTATAATCTGTTTTGGTATTTAAAATTTTTTTTCCAAGTGCTTATTTGAGAGAGAGAGTGTGTGTGCACAATCGGGAGGGGCAGACAGAGAGGGAGACACAGAATCTAAAGCAGGTTCCAAGCTCTGAGCTGTTAGCACAGAGCCCGATGGAGAGCTTGAACCCAGGAACCATGAGGTCATGACCTGAGCGACTGTGCCACCCAGGTGCCCTTATTTGGTATCTCTAAAGGTTATAGGTTTCAGCCAGCCTGATCCATGTGCTGATAGAAATTAATTTTTTATTTTATCTAATGATTACAGCCTATAGCCTTTGCTGAATTTACTTACCGATCTTTGAACATTTTTATAACATTTCCTATCCCCTAAGTTCAAGTTCTGTACCCAAAGTGCAATTTTAATAAAGCTCATGTAACTGCATTGTATGAGAAGAAAGGAGAGAACCTGAAAGATGTTTTAATATGCTATACCTTCTAGGTCATGTTGATGATTGAAGGATTTTCAGTTGTGAATTAAATTTCAGCAGTAGCATGGTGTATATCACAATTAAGGGTATTTTGGTTTAGCTGGGTTGCTTTGATTGGAAAAATATGGTTGGACTGCTGGACTAATCATCTGTGTTTGGGAAACCAATTCTAATTAACTATAGTAATAACTCATAATAGATATTGGGAATCTGCCCTGTTACTACTGCCATATCTAAAATGATGGATTTTTTTTTTTTAAATGTTTTTATTTATTTCTAAGAGAGAGAGAGAGACAGCGTGAGCAGGGGAGGGTCAGAGAGAGAGGGAGTCACAGACTGAAACAGGCTCCAGGCTCTGAGCTGGCAGTCAGCACAGAGCCCGATGCGGGGCTCGAACCCACGAACCGCGAGATCATGACCTAAGCGAAAGTCGGACGCTTAACCGACTAAGCCACCCAGGCGCCCCTAAAATGATGGATTTTAG